CTGCGCAGTCTCAACTTGTAGTTTTCAGGGTTGGCTCCAGGCATCGAGGATCGAACGTCTCCACCAATTAAGACGGCCTTTCTGGTCTGTTAGGACGACCTTTAGCACTAGGTGTACTAAAGGTGCTGTCAGGCCTCGATTTGGGGAATTAGCTATAGGGAGCAAGCCTTGAAACCTTGAAACAAGAAAGGAGCCAGAGCTGTGAGATCCAGGGTTTATTCAAGCAAGTGTCTCTTGCATGACATTCAATATACATCAATTCATACATAATAATGACATACAATAATAGAAACAATAACCAATTATATCCTAATACAGTTTATATCTAAGTCGGGTAGTTGAAGCAATGTATGGTACAACAGGGTATGTACGGTAACTGCTTACAGAAACATAATGCAAATAATACAACATTCACTTGAGCAACTACGGTACTGATTAACAACATAACCTGACGGATAAATTAATCCTAAACAACAATTGCAAAGAACAAGTACTGAGTGGAGCGCCCAACAGTTTACTTACAGCATGTAGTGCCTAGTCCATTAACTGTTGTGCGGATTTATGACTATTGCGTTATGTCGCGGCTAATGCGTTAACTACGGTACCGATTTATGACAAATACGGTATGTAGTGCCTATTGCGTTAACTATGGTAGGAATTTATGACTATTACGGTATGTTGCGCTTAGTGTATTGACTACGGTAGGAATTTACTATTGTTACGGTATGTCGCGCTTAATGCATTAGCTACGGCAACGATTTATGACTTGTGTAAGTAATTTCCGTTATCAACATACATGCCTTGAGCAAATACGGTAAACGGCGCGAAGTGCTCAGATTTGACATATACCATTTAACTCCGGTATTGACTGTACGCGTTCTAACTGTAATATTAACATTTATTTTCTCAATACAATAATTTCGGTAGATACGGTAAGTCGAACTAGAGAGTGATATAAATATGTGTAACTACGGGGACAGACGATATAGTTTTAGCTAGAGTACTACTACTTAAGCTTGTTTTATCATGAATTATTTGGCTGACTACGGTAAGTGTATTTCGACGGTGGTGTTGCTATTGGCAACGTGCAATTTCGACCTATACGGAGTTAAGCCATGACCTAGGATATATGTAATGCTGTAGTGCTACATTTTTTGTGCTTTACAAAACAAGACAGTAACTTAGTTAAATGAATATGTAATTATGTACAAGGACGGCGCTGTTGTCATTGGCTACGCGTATTTCTTAAATTACGGAGCTAAATAGATACGGAAAGAAGACTGTAATTGGAAACTACACGGATTTGAATGTATATTTTCTGGTAATATGAAGAGTAGACAATACCATTTTCTACTGATTACGGTAATGTGATAACCTGCATATACAGATCTAACACGCAGATGAATAGAACAAGACAAAGACTGGGAATACACACATGTGTGTCGAAACATAGAAAAGAAATATTCGTTTGTACATGAAAAACATAAACTTGAGGAGCCCTCGACGCAATGTGCATAAATAAATATCCCTGGATAGTGCCTAATAATTAATCGGTTATCTAGAACTAGCATTTGCAATGAAAAAGTGCTTCAATGGTGAAGGAATGTTTCTAACCTAACTCTAACATTTTCTAGACGATAATTACAAAGAAATAACAAGTTAAACACGACTAAAGTTTAAATGTTTCTTACCTTGAAACAAGAAAGGAGCCAGAGCTGTGAGATCCAGGGTTTATTCAAGCAAGTGTGCCTGAGATGGAAGAACCCAGGATTTAATACCCCACAGCTCTACTCGTTTGTCATTATCAAGTTTCTATAAAGTTGAAGTTTCCATATGCGTTATCTACCCTATGCTGACAAGGTTCACTACACGAGGTAGGTGGTAAGAAGATGATTACCTAACAAGGTTTGATTTTCTTTGTGGTGTAGCCACGGTCAGCTTGTGCCAGCTGCTTAACAAAATATCTGACCATGGCATTTACGACAGGACAAAGAGGATGGCATGATGGTAATCTCGATCTTGTTCAACAAAAGTTGATTTTCGATTACGACTTAGTTGGTGGTAGATATGCTCCTGCTGGGATGGGACTACTTATCTGTGCTTGACCAAGGGATGTACCCGAGAAGAAAGGCCAGAGCCGACACAGCTCGCTAGCTTCATCTTTGATTAATTAGTTTAAGGTTGGCGTGGATGCGTTTGCTAATTGCCTACTACTGCGCTTGACATGCGGGCTATAAACAAGACACATTATGCACTGCGACTTGTACGTATACGGATTCTCTTTGTTATGAATAATTTGTGAAAAATATAAAAATGTATGAAGAAATATATGCACTGTAATAGAACCAACATCTTTTATCGAAATTCGTTCATCTGAAAACTTCGACAGACAGACAAGACAACTTTGGTGTTGTATATAACTCATGTCTATATTTATATTAAACAGCTACGGAAATTGTAATAGATTGTTTCATTGGCATGCGTGTTTCATGCAATCAACGATAGTCTGTATTAAACTGTCTGTTTATTGTGATCGTAATACCAACAGGTTTCAAAACTGAATGTACTCAATTCCCCACCCCTCTCCAACCCCAGATATAGCTACAGTGTTTTTATGTAATAGGAAATGGACACATTATGAAATATTAATAGCTGTTTTTTACTAAACATGTCCTTAACGAACATGAGCCCCATCTGGGAGTATTGTGTATCAGTGTGTTTTAGACAATGCGCACTTTCCTTTTTATGAGTCGGCTCTTTCAAAACAAGCCTAAACACACACAGTTATGAATATTTCATAATGTGCCCTTTTCCTATTATATACAAAACTGTAGCTATGTATGGGTTGGGGAATGGGGTACTTTCAATGTTATATATAATGGTCCGATGTGTAATCGACTTCTCAGTAGAATCACACAGATGATGCCATACTATGACTATTGTTAAAGACCACATGCAACGTAAAACACAACTTTGCAGATTCTGATACCTTTTGGTATGGACTTACCGAAACAAATCATCAAAAATGCAAATTCAACACTTCACTAATTTTCCCCCAGCGTTTGGGGGGAATTCAAGTGGTTCCAACAGCTGGGCTGCGCTCATAGCACGTACGCAGTGAAATAGGTTCGCGCAACTTGGAAGCGGGTTGTCCGGTGAATACTCCGTGAAGGCTTTGGTGTGAGCTATTTTTCTAATGTTTTGTTGATATCTCACATGTGCAAGCTTTTTATATGTTATGTCTTGTTTTATTGACACCCGTGTGTCTGCCTGCCTGTCTGCTAATGACAATATTCAATACACAACTGCGATCACTGACCACATGCAATTTGAACTTAACACCAATCAGGCTATACACCATAAACAAAACGCATTGATTTATGGCCTGAGTTCGGTCTCTGTCACATTATGTAATTACACAGACAGGCAGGTGTGATACTTGAACACATGACATGTTATGATGTCTATTGATTGTAAAATATTATACACAAAAAATGAGCATGTATTTACAAAACCCAACATCTCTATATATACACACACAATGAGCCGTGGGGGCATCTGCAAATGAACCAGCCGTTACACTTGAGTGCACACCCACCCGCTCTGACTGGGTTCGGTATCCCGGCTGCTTCGTTTCTTGGGAAGTAGACCCAAGTGCACAATATTGCACTTTTGATTTGCGATTGTGCGCTTATAATTTGGTTTATATGTATTTTCATAATCAGCAATGTATATTATATGTCATGAATAAGTGATAATTGTGTTTTAATTATGTTTGATTTTTTGGTTGCATGTGACCTTTAAACTTTTTAAGATCAATGTCTATTGCATCACCATGATCAGCCCAATGCAAAATGGAAGAACAGATATGGATGTTATATTGAAATGATATATGCCAAATGAATACAAATAATAAATAGGCCATATTCTTCTAATATTATACCATTTTTGAAAGCACATACATTGTTAAAAAAACATTGTTAAATCATTTATGTCTTTCAAATGTATTAGGAATAATAATTATTAATTATATAATGTGGTAACGACCATTTTCTAGTTACTATTACTGGGCGTTCAGTTAATTTCCAACACACAAAACAGGAGAAATGGGGGCCACTTCATCGAATTACACGTCATCACATTTGCTAAAATATAGATGCTAACTATATTCAATCAATGTGGTCGTTCAGATCCATGTTTTATGTGTACGATTTTGTGGCAATAGCAAGCTGACACGATATATCAAAGCACATGTCGGTGATGAAAATAGGGTGTGTGTCATTGTTTACATATCGGCCATGTAACAACCATTTTCCTGTTTCGAAACTGCTTAAATAACGTGTTCGTACACTGAAAGTAACAATGGCCGTTGTTCTGGTGACTTATATCTTGCCATAGTATCGATGAAAAAGCTATGAAAAAATTCTAACAACCTGATCTCGGATTTTTCTATAGTAAATGTATAGCGCGTCTCCCTGCAGTGAAGGCTGCCATTCGGCAGTAGTTGCCTGGGTCAGCGTCGAAGCGTTAGCGCAGGCGCAACAGACCCAGGGAACCAGGCTGACTCACTCAAGGGTGTCTCACATTGGGCTATACAAAACCGAATTAATTCCCATTGACTTCTATAGTAATGTTGTAGTTTTTCTTTAATTAACAAAACTATCAACAGCTTTTAATGAAGCAATAAAAACATACAATATGACCGCCTCAGCCAGCTCCTTTTCCGAGTATATGAAGCACAGACCAACCCCAGTTCTGCACAAAATGTCAACCGCTTGAAACTGTCCTGTGATCACATTCAGTATAAGTTCAGTATATGTAAAATAAGACAGCACTAAACATTTAAAACTATGGTCAGTTTTAATTACTGGATGGATGTGTACACGTTGAAAAAGCACAAAAATCTAACACAAAATCACCCAATTATAGCCGTCAGATAATTCAGTCTGCACTGAAGACTCCCAACAAAAAGTGCTGGTTAAAATACAGATTCTGGTTTGATGGAGTGTAACCTGTATGCTAGCTGACAAATACCTGTTTCCGCCCCAATCTGGTATATGTACTCTGAGGGGGGAGTGAGTGAGTCTGGTATACACTCCTACGTGTGTGTTCATCAGGCAAACTGTTTCCTATCTGGAGATGTGAGATGGAAAATGTTTATATCTGTAGCGCCATTTTTATAAGCATGCAGGAAGAATTGAGACTTCCTCATGTTTCACTAAAGACATAAAGATTTATCACGTGTCTGGTTCCCTTCTCACGTTGACCTGACCCTTGTACTGGGGATGCATCTAAGGTTGAGGTATCCAGGGAGAGTCAAGGGTTTCTTGTCATCTAAAACTGAGGGATATCAACCAATAAGGGAAATTAAGTCATAGTCAATCTCTATAACTCACTTCGAGTGAAAGTAGACTGAGTGAATGAGAACGGTTTTACGCCGCTTTTAGCAATATTACAGCAATATCAATAAAGAGCAATAAAAAGATTCTGGCCTAGCTGGGCTACTTCTTCCCCCACACTTGCTGTTATATCAAAAGGGGGAGTTTCTGGCCTAGCTAGGCTACTTCTTCCCCACCCTTGCTCTTATATCAAAATGGGGAGTTTCTGTCCTAGCTAGGCTACTTCTTCCCCACCCTTGCTCTTATATCAATAGGGGGAGACATGTTATGTCACTAACTGATTAACGGCTACCCCACCGCCCCGAAACTAACTAACTAAATTCATAAGGTAAAGGAAAACTGATTTCTATGGATAGTCAACTTCTTTATTGCAATGAGTGCGACGTTTCGGTGTAGATTCACAACCAATCACTCTGTACATCAACCTCCTATGCTGTAATCACTTATCAAATACCCAATGTACATCAACCTTGTTAATTGTATATACTTACTATACAGCTATATATATATTCTCCTTGCCTCAGTTGTTGTATCACTTGCTTGATAACGGTGTTAGTACCTACACCGAAACGTCGCACTCATTGCAATAAAGAAGTTGACTATCCATAGAAATCAGTTTTCCTTCATCTTCACAACTTCTAAAATGCCTCTCAAAAAAATTCATAAGGTAAGAGCCTCGGCTGATTCTGAGCTATTGTTCTGAGTGACAGGATGTGAGTCTCTAAGCACCCTGTATCTTGTACATTTCAGTCTATGTGCAGCAAGTGCATCGTCCCGGCGACAACATCACACTAGTCCACTGCTCAGAGTACGCATCTCTCATCCATGCACGTAAGTAGCTGTCACTGGGCAGGGTCTAACGATGTCCACTCTGTTACAGTCTATATGGACCACGCCCACCGAGGCTCTGACCACATCATACTGGTGCATGTACCAGAGTACACTCACCTGACTCGGGCCCGTGAGTACCACTGGGGTGTAGCTGCGGCTGTAACATTGTTGTAATGTTGCTGTAACTGCTGCTGTCACATTGTTGTAATGTTGCTGTAACTGCTGATATAACATTGTTGTAATGTTGCTGTGACTGCTACTGTAACATTGTTGTAATGTTGCTGTAACTGCTGCTGTCACATTGTTGTAATGTTGCTGTAACTGCTACTGTAACATTGTTGTAATGTTGCTGTAACTGCTGCTGTAACTGCTGATGTACACTGTTGTAATGTTGCTGTAACTGCTACTGTAACTGTTGTTGTAATATTGCTGTAACTGCTGATGTAACATTGTTGTAATGTTGCTGTAATGCTCTGATAAAGCTGGTGTAACTGCGGATGTAACTGCCTCGCTGCCTTGATTATATTTGTGTATATTACATCCATATGCATCTGTGTGTACTGCACCTTTTGTATTTGTATATTGAATCTGTGTATCTGTATATATTCCATCTGTCCACCTCTGTATGTGTGTATATCTGTCTATATTGCATCTGTGTGTATATATCTGTCTGTTGCATCTGTGTATGTGTATATATCTGTCTATATTGCATCTGTGTATGTGTGTATATCTGTCTATATTGCATCTGTGTGTGTAGATATCTGTCTATATTGCATCTGTGTATGTGTGTATATCTCTCTATATTGCATCTGTGTATGTGTAGATATATGTATATCTGTACTGCACCTTTTGTATTTGTATATTGAATCTGTGTATCGGTATATATTCCATCTGTCCACCTTTGTATGTGTGTATATCTGTCTATATATCATCTCTCTGTGTGTATGTTTCTATATTGCATCTGTGTGTGTGTGTATATCTGTCTATTTTGCCTCTCTCTGTGTACATGTGTTTATATTGCATCTCTGTATGTGTGTATAGCTGTCTACATTGCATCTCCATGGGTGTATGTGTCTATCCTGCATCTCTGTGTGTATATCTGTCTATATTGAATCTCTGTATGTGTGTATATCTGTCTATATTGAATCTCTGTGTGTGTGTATGTCTGTCTATATTGCATCTCTCTGTGTGCATGTCTATCCTGCATCTCTGTATGTGCGTATATCTGTCTATACTGCATCTCTGTATGTGTGTATATCTGTCTATATTGCATCTCTCTGTGTGCATGTCTATCCTGCATCTCTATACTTGTGTATATCTGTCTATATTGCATCTCTGTATGTGTGTATATCTGTCTATATTGCATCTGTGTATGTGTGTATATCTTTCTATATTGCATCTGTGTCTGTGTATTGGAGTCAACTTTGTGTGCAGACTCTTTCAGTGTTGTCACAACCCCTAGTGTACAGTACACAACCCTGTGCACTTAAAAGAAGCCACGAATCCGTTGGTATATGACCAGATGGTGGCCACATGAATACGTGCAAACTCCCAGTTGCAGGTACAGCAACGTGCAGTGAACTTGGACAAAGTACTGTGACTATGTGTCCCAGTCCACCCAGCTGTGAATGGGTACCTCGTAAGGATGGGAATGCCACAATAACTCGGTGCGCCTAGTGGCTGCAAGAGTTGTATGATCCCCAGGGAGTTGAGATTGACAATACGATGTGCCGTTGAGATTGACATCCAGTGAACGAGGGAAAAACAAAGCGCCCTTGAGCAGCTGAGCTGAGATCGATATCGGCGCTATACAAATGTTAATATGTATGTATGTATGTATGTATGTATGTATGTATGTATGTATGTATGTATGTATGTTTGTATGTTTGTATGTATGTATGTATGTATGTATGTATGTATGTATGTATGTATGTATGTATGTATATATGTATGTGTGTATATCTGTCTGTATTGCATCTGTGTATGTGTGTATATCTGTCTATATTGCATCTGTGTGTGTATTTATCTGTCTGTATTGCATCTGTGTATGTGTGTATATCTGTCTATATTGCATCTCTGTATGTGTGTATGTGTCTATATTGCATCTGTGTATGTGTGTATATATCTGTCTGTATTGCATCTGTTTATGTGTGTATATGTGTCTGTGTTGCATCTCTGTATGTGTGTATGTGTCTATATTGCATCTGTGTATGTGTGTATATATCTGTCTGTATTGCATCTGTGTATATATATTTGTCTATATTGCATCTGTGTATGCATGTCAGTGGGGATATCATCCTAGAAGAAGTTCATACACGTGGATTGGTACCATGATTGTGAGTTCTTTTGTCTGCCCTAATACTGATGGTGAATGAAGGTGATTCCATCATTGTCCTGACTGAAATGTCAGTTAGCACCCGTACATAAACTCTGTTCCTGTCAACCCCAAGCCTTTTAGAGAATGGTACTTGTTGGTGACCTAGCACTGGAAGTAAGAAGCCCTAAGAATTCTAAACTTTGATTGTAGCCAGTGTGTTAAGAATGGGCTGAAGAAGTTCGTAGGGCTAGCCTGGTGAGCTTGGAGCTGGTAGACCTTGCAGAGGTACAGATAAGCTGCATATATGCGCAAATATTCCTATAAAGTCTATTGTGTACAAGTACACTTGAAGTTTTGTAAATACTCAATAAATTTTATCTTACATTCATACAAACAAAACTATATAATTTAAGTGCAGTATATTGAGAGGCTCTACTTCCGCACCTGAACTTGGTCACTTGCTGTCTCTCTTATCATTTCTCATTTCTCATACAACAGATCAAATGTAATAACAGACACATAAACCAACACTTAAACTTTATTATATTTTTACAATTAATGGAAAATGGCAAAGTACCCAATAGAGTTTGAGTGAGGTGGGTACAGTTTATTTGGTTACTTGAAGGACAATTAGGATAGACACTTGAGTTGAACACAAGTGAATACACAACTCAATGATCCAAAAAGTTAACTGTATCTGTGACTGTGTCTAGATAACACACAAGCACTTGCACAGAAATACACACATACACGCACATGAGGGTGCTCGCACTTCCCATAAAGAGGAATTATGCTATTATCCCTCGCAACAATGAAGGTGATATAGAAATGAGTTCCGTCCGTCCGTGCGACCATCACGTTTTGTCCGGAACATATCTCCTAAACTATTCGTGATAGCTTAACCAAACTTGGTACACATGTCACTCATGATCCCTAGATGTACCTTTTGGCAGTTACACCCAAATATGAACTTTTTTTTATTCTGTTTCCATGGAGTCTTGACTTAGGATGTGACTAATAGGATGTCATCTTGTCTGGAGCAGATCTTCCAAACTATACATGCTAGATTTATCAAACTTGGTACACATGTTCACCATGATTCATAGATGTGGCTTTTGGGGTTTTACCAGTGTGTGAATTTCTTTTTTATGTGGTTTCCATGGAAACGTGACTTGAACTGTGACTCTATGAAGAAGTCACTTTGTCTGGAGAAAATCTCCTAAACTCTGCATGCTAGCTTTACCAAACTTGATCTGCATGCCAGGCAGGATCCTTAGATGTGCCTTTTGGTGGTTATACACATCTTATAAACTTTCACAAGAATGGAAAAAAACTAAACTTTAAAGTAACCCAAGCTGACTATCACTGACCTATGGCCTCACCTGTTGCAATTTCCTTATACATTTTGTTTAGCCATGTCAAAGTTGGCTATTTTACGGGGATATTGATGACTTTGTCTTCTTGTTTTCATTGTTTTGAGAATCACTTTCCACTTAAAAAATATAATTTTTGTAAAATGTGTATACAATCTTGGATTATATCCTGTCTTTGTGTAAAATATTGGTTCTACTTACACTTTTGTGTTATACCATGGGACAAGTTATTATTGCATGTACTTCCAACTATGACTAAAACCATTTGACAACATATTTTACACCTGGGATTATGATGTTTGTGTGTGTGAAACCTTGGCCAACATATCTTTTTGAAGAAACTGTGGACAATTAATTTTCTCCATGTGCTTCTGTTTCAATAGCAGCCTTGCTGACAGACCCGGTAGTCGTGGCAGAACTCATCAAAGAGGAAGAGGTCAAGGTCAAACACCTGGTTGACAAATACAGTGAAAAGATGAAGAAAATCCATGTATGTCCAGCAAAGTGGTCTTTCTGTTTGGGACACTGGTATCAATACATGTATGTCTTGCAATGTAGTCTTTCTGTTCTGGTCACTGGTATCAATACATGTATGTCCTGCAATGTACTCTTTCTGTTCTGGTCACTGGTATCAATACATGTGTGTCCTGCAATGTAGTCTTTCTGTTTGGGACACTGGTATCAATACATGTATGTCCTGCAATGTAGTCTTTCTGTTCTGGTCACTGGTATCAATACATGTGTGTCCTGCAATGTAGTCTTTCTGTTCTGGTCACTGGTATCAATACATGTATGTCCTGCAATGTAGTCTTTCTGTTCTGGTCACTGGTATCAATACATGTGTGTCCTGCAATGTAGTCTTTCCGTCCTGGTCACTGGTATCAATACATGTATGTCCTGCAATGTAGTCTTCCTGTTCTGGTCACTGGTATCAATACATGTATGTCCTGCAATGTAGTCTTTCTGTTCTGGTCACTGGTATCAATACATGTATGTCCTGCAATGTAGTCTTTCTCTTCTGGTCACTGGTATCAATACATGTATGTCCTCCAATGTAGTCTTTCTGTTCTGGTCACTGGTATCAATACATGTATGTCCTCCAATGTAGTCTTTCTGTTCTGGTCACTGGTATCAATACATGTATGTCCTGCAATGTAGTCTTTCTGTTCTGGTTACTGGTATCATACATGTATGTCCTGTAATGTGGTCTTTCCGTTCGGGACACTAGTATCAATGTATGTATGTCCTGCAATGTAGTCTTTCCCTTCTGGTCACTGGTATCAATACATGTATGTCCTGCAATGTAGTCTTTCTGTTCTGGTCACTGGTATCAATACATGTATGTCCTGCAATGTAGTCTTTCTGTTCTGGTCACTGGTATCAATACATGTATGTCCTGCAATGTATTCTTTCTGTTCTGGTCACTGGTACCAATACTTATATGTCCTGCAATGTAGTCTTTCTGTTCTGGTTACTGGTACCAATATATAGATGTCCTGCAATGTAGTCTTTCTGTTCTGGTCACCGGTATCAATACATGTATGTCCTGCAATGTAGTCTTTCTGTTCTGGTTACTGGTACCAATACATGTATGCCCTGCAATGTAGTCTTTCTGTTCTGGTTACTGGTACCAATATATAGATGTCCTGCAATGTAGTCTTTCTGTTCTGGGCTCTGGTATCAATACATGTATGTCCTGCAATGTAGTCTTTCTGTTCTGGGCTCTGGTATCAATACATGTATGTCCTGCAATGTAGTCTTTCTGTTCTGGTTACTGGTACCAATATATAGATGTCCTGCAATGTATTCTTTCTGTTCTGGTCAATGGTACCAATACGTGTATGTCCTGCAATGTATTCTTTCTGTTTTGGTCACTGGTACCAATACGTGTATGTCCTGCAATGTAGTCTTTCTGTTCATAAATCTATAAAAGGTTGAACATAACCGGTGTTCATGTGGATGTCTCTGTCCTACCACAAAGTTGAACCAAGATGTCATCAATGAGCAACTAACGTTTAACATACTGTTTTCTCAGTACAATTCAGATTCCATTTGCTTCACACATGACATCAAGAGATTGGGATGTCATACCTGTCTCGGACAAGGTGTGATGTTTGGTGGATTGCGATGTGGTTGTTTCTCCTTAACAGGTGGGCGGCAAGGTGAAGCAGATGACAGGCAAGGTTGGGGAGGCGATCATCGAGGCTGCCAAGGGAGAGAATGCTGCAATGATTGTTGTCGGAACTCGGGGCATGGGCAAGATGAGGAGGACATTTCTGGGCAGCGTCAGTGACTACTGTCTACATCACTCCCCAGTCCCGGTGCTTGTGTGCCGACATAAACCAGTGAATGAACACACGAAATAGGTCAACAATACCTTACATGGACAAGTATACAAGTTCTTGTGTTTCCCAACTGAATGCGGAATAACTATATGAGGAGAGTCAATCCAAAAACTGGTCCCAGACGCTACTTAGGACCGGATGATATTTGCAGCAAGAAATAGGCACTTGACCATACCCATTAGTTGTGTGATATAAATATGTGATGTATAAAATGAGTTCTATGTTGAATCAGCAATATTTCAGCCATATCTCGACAAGACAAAGTCTGCCTTCATCCACATTTTAAGCACAACATTTAAATCATTCTTTTTCAAAACATATTTATTCATTACATTATTATCTACAAACAGAAAAAGTTGTAGCACCAAATTTATAAGCAAGCAGTCTGTCCTCACATTACATCATTCATGATACAGACCAATCTCTTTATCCGTGAGACGGTGGGGTAGCCTAGTGGTTAATGTGTTCGCTCATCACACTTAAGACCTGGGTTCCATTCGCCACATGTGAACAATGTGTGAAGCCCATTCCTGGTGTCCCTGGCCGTGATATTACTGGAATATTGCTAAAAGCGAAGTGAAACTAAACTTTATCACTCACTCCTCCTTTCTGAGAAGACATTCACACCTACAGATGGTCTGTGATCTGTGTGATGTAGACACATGTATGTCACACCTACAGATGGTCTGTGATCTGTGTGATGTAGACACATGTTTGTCACACCTACAGATAGTCAGTGATCTGTGTGATGTAGACACATGTTTGTCACACTTACAGATAGTCTGTGTGATGTAGACACATGTTTGTCACACCTACAGATGGTCTGTGATCTGTGTGATGTAGACACATGTTTGTCACACCTAAAGATTGTCTGTGATCTGTGTGATGTAGACACATGTTTGTCACGCCTACAGATGGTCTGTGTGATGTAGACACATGTTTGTCACACCTACAGATGGTCTGTGTGATGTAGACACATGTTTGTCACACCTACAGATGGTCTGTGTGATGTAGACACATGTTTGTCACACCTACAGATGGTCTGTGATCTGTGTGATGTAGACACATGTTTGTTACACCTACAGATGGTCTGTGGTCTGTGTGATGTAGACACATGTTTGTCACACCTACAGATGGTCTGTGTGATGTAGACACATGTTTGTCACACCTACAGATGGTCTGTGTGATGTAGACACATGTTTGTCACACCTACAGATGGTCTGTGTGATGTAGACACATGTTTGTCACACCTACAGATGGTCTGTGATCTGTGTGATGTAGACACATGTTTGTTACACCTACAGATGGTCTGTGATCTGTGTGATGTAGACACATGTTTGTCACGCCTACAGATGGTCTGTGATGTAGACACATTTGTTACACCTACATATGGTCTGTGATCTGTGTAATGTAGACACATGTTTGTCACACCTACAGATGGTCTGTGATCTGTGTGATGTAGACACATGTTTGTCACGCCTACAGATGGTCTGTGATGTAGACACATTTGTTACACCTACATATGGTCTGTGATCTGTGTGATGTAGACACATGTTTGTCACACCTGCAGATGGTCTGTGATCTGTGTGATGTAGACACATGTTTGTCACATCTACAGATTGCCTGTGATCTGTGTGATGTAGACACATGTTTGTCACATCTACAGATTGCCTGTGATCTGTGTGATGTAGACACATGTTTGTCACACTTACAGATAGTCTGTGTGAGGTAGACACGTGTTTGTCACACCTACAGATTGTCTGTGATCTGTGTGATGTAGACACATGTTTGTCACGCCTACAGATGGTCTGTGTGATGTAGACACATGTTTGTCACACCTACAGATGGTCTGTGTGATGTAGACACATGTTTGTCACACCTACAGATGGTCTGTGATCTGTGTGATGTAGACACATGTTTGTCACACCTAAAGATTGTCTGTGATCTGTGTGATGTAGACACATGTTTGTCACGCCTACAGATGGTCTGTGTGATGTAGACACATGTTTGTCACACCTACAGATGGTCTGTGTGATGTAGACACATGTTTGTCACACCTACAGATGGTCTGTGTGATGTAGACACATGTTTGTCACACCTACAGATGGTCTGTGATCTGTGTGATGTAGACACATGTTTGTTACACCTACAGATGGTCTGTGATCTGTGTAATGTAGACACATGTTTGTCACACCTACAGATGGTCTGTGATCTGTGTGATGTAGACACATGTTTGTCACGCCTACAGATGGTCTGTGATGTAGACACATTTGTTACACCTACATATGGTCTGTGATCTGTGTGATGTAGACACATGTTTGTCACACCTGCAGATGGTCTGTGATCTGTGTGATGTAGACACATGTTTGTCACATCTACAGATTGCCTGTGATCTGTGTGATGTAGACACATGTTTGTCACACTTACAGATAGTCTGTGTGAGGTAGACACGTGTTTGTCACACCTACAGATGGTCTGTGTGAGGTAGACACATGTTTGTCACACCTACAGATGGTCTGTGATCTGTGTGATGTAGACACATGTTTGTCACACCTACAGATGGTCTGTGGTCTGTGTGATGTAGACACATGTTTTTCACACCTACAGATGGTCTGTGGTCTGTGTGATGTAGGCACATGTTTGTTACACCTACAGATGGTCTGTGATCTGTGTGATGTAGACACATGTTTGTCACGCCTACAGATGGTCTGTGATGTAGACACATTTGTTACACCTACATATGGTCTGTGATCTGTGTAATGTAGACACATGTTTGTTACACCTACAGATGGTCTGTGATCTGTGTGATGTAGACACATGTTTGTCACGCCTACAGATGGTCTGTGATGTAGACACATTTGTTACACCTACATATGGTCTGTGATCTGTGTGATGTAGACACATGTTTGTCACACCTGCAGATGGTCTGTGATCTGTGTGATGTAGACACATGTTTGTCACATCTACAGATTGCCTGTGATCTGTGTGATGTAGACACATGTTTGTCACACTTACAGATAGTCTGTGTGAGGTAGACACGTGTTTGTCACACCTACAGATGGTCTGTGTGAGGTAGACACATGTTTGTCACACCTACAGATGGTCTGTGATCTGTGTGATGTAGACACATGTTTGTCACACCTACAGATGGTCTGTGGTCTGTGTGATGTAGACACATGTTTGTCACACCTACAGATGGTCTGTGGTCTGTGTGATGTAGGCACATGTTTGTCACACCTACAGATGGTCTGTAATCTGTGTGATGTAGGCACATGTTTGTCACACTTACAGATTGTCTGTGGTCTGTGTGATGTAGACACATGTTTGTCACACCTACAGATTGTATGTGATCTGTGTGATGTAGACACGTGTTTGTCGCACCTATAGATTGTCTGTGGTCTGTGTGATGTAGACACATGTTTGTCACACCTACAGATGGTCTGTGGTCTGTGTGATGTAGACACGTTTGTCACACCTACAGATGGTCTGTGATCTCTGTGATGTAGACACATGTTTGTCACACCTACAGATGGTCTGTGGTCTGTGTGATGTAGACACGTTTATCACACCTACAGATGGTCTGTGATCTGTGTGATGTAGACACATGTTTGTCACACCTACAGATGGTCTGCGATCTGTGTGATGTAGACACATGTTTGTCACACCTACAGATGGTCTGTGGTCTGTGTGATGGAAACACATGTTTGTAGACTTTCATTTGTATCATGGAGTCCCTTTTACAGACCAGAATCCTGTGAGTGCAGGTTTGAGCCCAAGATTTGCCCATTTTCAGCTCCATGCTGTGGTTTAAGACGTACCTTACTTACCAAATGGTTTCATTTATTTATAAATTTGTTTGTCTTTCTAATAGGTGAGCCTGTTGTGTTTCTGTACAGGTAGCCTTCATTTTCTCATGAATATATGGTTTTGTCTAGACAGTGAAAATGACATTTGTTAGTTTTCTTATTTTATATTTTGTTTAGAATTAGATTACAACATATTTTGTCTGGCAGCATGAGCTATGCTGCTCTGAATCTAAACCACAATTTAGGACAATATTTTGTGTGTCTACAGGTTGTCAAATACCAAGATGTCTCTCTGGCATGGCCTGTATATTCTGTTTACATGTACTTCATACAAACATCACTCTGCTCAGTAGAAGGCATTGCTGGTGTTTCCAAGGAATCCTTTTATTTGTGCAAACTATTGTTTCCACTGCGAGAATCTCATGTACTTAATTATACAACAAAATTGAAATATCAAAAATTAAATAGTTGGGTAAAGTTCTTACTTGCCTGTTTTTGTTTTGTTGATATTTACTTTGTTATTTAGCCCTTGTCTCACCCACCCATTTGCATTAAGAATAATATATTTCGGCTAAAAAATGATGCATATCTCACTTATCCTTACGTCATAGATTGGTGGAGATCAAATCAACTGTTTACTTGCAGGAAAATCTCGGTTAACTGTTCAATGAAACATTTTATCAACATCTTACTTCTATACAAAGATACAATACACATCCATTTGTACATATTATACATATATAACAGCTGTACAGAACCATTCAAAACAGAATTATGAGAGACACAAAAGAGTTAAAAACAACTTTAAACATATCACAATTCTTGTCAACGTTGTAGAATTAAAAGGCAGATTTTGGCTGTATTAAAACACATAATAGGATCACTGAAAATATAACACATTTTATCGACACGAGATTTATCTAAAAACTCTGGACAAAAAGTTGTGCAATGGTTAAAACCGCGCCTTACTGAGATCATCGTGTAGAACACAGTGAAACATAACATGTAATTCATCTTCTACATCATTAATACATTAAAACATTTTCTGTTTTCTTACACATTATTTTCATAGCGGCCAGTTTCCACTTTAATGGGAGTAACACCATATCGACTCTTCAACGAAGCCGATCTTTACTGTCTAGGCATATGATGGACAATTTAATTTTCTGTATTAAAATTTCACTTCAACTGCTTATGGAGTATAAGTTTATTGAAACCAGGTCTACCAAGCTTCCAATCTATTTACTAATAAGTTCCACGAGGTAACAAACTTATTAATAACATTATCCTCAATAAGTGTACATGGAACAGATTTGTTATTGTTAACAGGTGCATCTAAAAAGTAATGTAAATCAAGGGAAGTTAACTTCTTCGTTAATCTAAAATTCCAGTTCTTAACACCAGTTACCAACACCATACTGCCAATACAAGCACCATTTTATCTATTTTCCACATTATAAAGATGATTCCACTGCGTAGAAAGACATAACCCCTGTCTTACAATGGGTGGGACCGACCCCCATATCTTCATTGACAGCACGTTAGAGGCGTACTTAACAGGTCCTATAAAAAACATTGTCCTGTGATGCACTGCATTTACCGTCGATACATCGTAAGCGCCCCAGATAGCCGCACCATTGCTTAAACACTGACCAGACCATGCTGTCATGTAGATTTGAATATGGACTAAAACACATATTACCAACACTTTTAAACTTAGATATTAGGCCTAAAGACCTATATGAACGTTAGTGCGAGCAAAGGGAGCCGGGAACCAGCTTAGAGGGCATCCTTGTTTTAGTCCACGATTCACTGCAAACCAGGAGGTTTTGATATGGTAGATGGTGCTGTTCTGCTGGCGACAGACATCAACAGAGCTTCCATTGTTTTTATATTTACACAAATCAGTAAGTTTTGAGGAACCGTATCTTTGTGCTTAACAATCCTGCAAGTATGGGTGGATTCCACCGGTGTGTGATTTTAGCGATGACGCTAAGTATATTTGTCCATGCTGCGTGTCATCGTCTTGGAGGCCGTTAGTGGACTCCGTAACGGCGAACCAAGATGGACGTGAAGAGCTGCTGGCGCTGCAGGAAACCGCGTTGGAATTGAAAGGACTTATAGACTTGCCCCCGGAAGTGCATCAGACAAGAATATTTCAAATTCAAATTCAGGATCAAAAGTTACCAGGAAACGACTAAGCGGGGAGGAGTCCGCCGACGGGTCCAGGGGGGCAAAACAAGACCACCCCTTCCAACCTTTTTCTTATCAAACATGAGGTCTCTTAAGAATAGATTGGACGAACTTTCGGCAGCAAATAAATATTTGTATGAATTCAGAGACAGTTACATTCTATGTTTCACGGAGACATGGCTATCACCCTCAGTGGACAGTAACACCCTCTATTTGGAAGGATTTGGTACTCCAGTTCCACTAGACAGAGATGTAGATGCTACAGGGAAATTTATTGGAGGAGGTGTATGTATGTATATAAATGAAAAGTGGTGTCGTCGTCAGACCTTTGCTGAGGACCTCAACACTTTCTACAGCCGCTTTGATTGTCACGATTTTACCAATGAGAGAGCTCAAGTTAGTGAAGCCGTACAGGATAGTGAAAGTCGTATCCATATATCAGAAGCTGACGTCATTCAAAGCTTCTCCAGAATTAACATCAGAAAAGCTAAAGGACCTGACAACATTGACGGCATTGTGTTGAAGGAGTGCAGACTTCAGCTGTGTGCAGTTTTCGTTAGATTGTTTCAATTCTCAGTGAATACACACGGTATTCCATCTGGCTGGGAAACATCAGAAATTGTACCAGTTCCTAAAAAGACACAACCTTAAGAACTCAACAACTACAGGCCAGTTGATCTCACATCTATAGCAATGAAGTCGCTGGAACGCATTTTGGAAGTTGCCGACATACTGGACCCTCTTCAGTTCGCCTACAAGTCAAGAAGAGGAGTTGTTGATGCCACACTGTCACTCCTTAATAATGTCTATAAACATCTAGAGACACCTAAGTCATACATCAGGACCCTCTTCGTTGACTTTTCATCTGTGTTCAACACCATCCAGCCACATATCCAGACACAGAAACTGTTGGACATGGGCGTTAACTCATACCTCATCTGTGTTCAACACCATCCAGCCACATATCATGATACAGAAACTGTTGGACATGGGCGTTAACTCATACCTCATCTGTGTTCAACACCATCCAGCCACATATCCAGACACAGAAACTGTTAGACATGGGCGGTAACTCATACCTCATCAAGTGGATCGAAAACTTTCTTGTGGACAGACAGCAGTACGTGAAAGTTAACGGGGCTGTATCGAGTAAACAGACCACCAACACTGGTGCACCAAAAGGCTGTGTAATATCTCCTGTTCTTTTCACCCTCTACACTTATGATTGTGCAAGCTCAAATTCTACCTGTTCAACTGTAAAGTTCTCAGATGATGCAGCAATTGTTGGCAAACTTAACGATACTGATTCTCAAGAACTGTATAAAGAGGACATTAACCATAACACGACTTGGTGTACAGAAAACCACTTACTCTTAAATGTCACAAAAACAAAGAAACTGATAATTGACTTTCGGAGTAAGCCCACAGAAATGCTTCCAGTGATAATCAACGGTGAATGTGTTGAGACAGTGTCTGAGTATAAGTAGCTGGGAACCTTCATTGACTCTAACACTGAAGCCCTATACAAAAAGTGTCAACAACGTCTTCATCGCATGCGTAAACTGAGATTTTTTAATGTTAACCCATTTGTGATGTCATTTTGTAATGCAGCATTTATTGAGAGTATTTTAACATTTTCCTTCCGTTGTTGGTACGGGTCTCTCTCAGTTCATCTCAAATCAAATATAGACAAAACTGTTAACACTGCAAGTAAAATCGCTGGAGTCGGATTTGAATGTTTATCATCAATATATAAGAGGCAAATCGTGAATCAAGCTGTCAAAATATTCCTGACCGTACTCACGACTTAAATTCGGAATACAACCTCCTCCCTTCAGGCCGGCGCTACAACGTTTCAATTGTAAAAACTAAGAGAGCCCGTCCATCCTTTATACCAAGTACCATAACTCTCTTAAACAAATGTGAAGATACCTAAATCAATGAATTTATGTAAATATGTTTTGTATCTCTCCGATGTGTCAGTAGCTCTGCTGATGTAACACAAATTCCTGAAAAGGCATTAAAGTATTATTCTATTCTATTCTATTCTATTCAGTCGAACACAACACTGAACGTCTTTGTATAGCGGCTGTCGAGCAGTCCACCCTTTATATCTTACTCC